ACTCACACACACAGACTCACACACACACACACACACAGCTCTAAACCACGGATGAGATGCGTGTTGTGTTGGCAGATAAATCATAAGCAAAGCCATGCTTATGGCAACGTAACAATCGGAATAAAAAGGAAATAAAATAAAAACAGCTTTTATACTGCCGTCCCATTTCAGTCCAAACTCCCAGAATCCCTCGCATGCGAGACCAGTCACATATAAACACACAACAGCAACAGAAATCAGCCCTCGTCGCTCTATCAGCTCCACCAAGGCTATTAAAATAGAGTAAGTGTTTCATTCATTTACTGTGTTTCAAACATCTTTACATATATCTGTTTTTTTTTTTAATTGTGCCCATCATGCTAAACCTCGCTATATCACTAATAAACCTCTCAATTTTACAAGGTCAATAAAGTCTGTGAGCTCTTACAGTTTTAATAGATTTCTGCTCGTGCGATTGCAATACTAAAAGTGTCGTTAGAACAAAACCCTGTGGCTACACACTAAAACTAGTGACAGAAGCGCTCAGCGGATCACATCTCAGTCTGTTAATCTAGGACCGCTGTCAATTAGTGTCTTTCAGTCATTTACACGCTGCTTTCGAGTGTTTTTCTGCTCGAATCTCACCAAAACACGCCACACTTCACCTAAAATAAACAAGAAAAAGACTACATGAAGCTTATTTCTTCTTTCCTTGTTTTTCTTAAAGATTTTATGTATTTTTTGCATTATTATTAACATGATGCATTTGGATATTTTTTGGTAATTCTCATTAATCAATAGTTATTCTCATTACTGTAATACAGTAAAGATACAGCAATACAACGATTATTTAAATCTTTATTAATTAAATGTACAAATTTATGTACAATAGCTAATTTAATAAATTAAAATACTTGTCAATTTAAATAATATTTATCATTATATTTTTGCATGGTGATGATGAGAATTTGTTTTGCATGTCATGAAAATTGTCACAAAAACCCTAATGGTCCTAAAAAATGTGTTTCAATACTTTACGTAGCATTATAATGCAATAAAACAACCCGTTTTAATTTGTTTTACTGCATTATAATGCAAAGAAATTTCTGCATTATTTAAATGAACAATGAAATGGTTAACATTTTTTTATTTAAATACATAATTTTCTTTGCATTACAGTTTTGCATTGTGATAATGAGAATTTGTTTTGTACATCATGAAAATAATGTCACAAAAATCTTAATGGTCCTAAAAAAATGTTTCAATACTTTTATTAGCATATAATGCAATAAACAACATATTCTAAAATATTTTTTCACTGCATTATAATGCAAAGAAAATTCTGCATTATATAAATGGGAAAAAAAGCTTAATTTTTATGTAAATAATATATAATTTTCTTTGCATTACATTTTTGCATTGTGATAATGAGAATTTCTTTTATATGTCATGAGAATGTCACAAAAATCCTAATGGTTCTAAAAAATGTTTCAATAATTTTCTCAGCTTTATAATGCAATGAAACAACCTGTTTTAAAATATGTTTAACTGCATTATAATGCAAAGATTTTGCACGTCTTGAAAATAATGTCACAAAAATCTTAAAGGTCCTAAAAAATGTGTTTGAATTTCTGCAAGTATAATATCTTATTTTTATTTCAGGGTGAAATGTGACCGGCAGGTTTTGTGAGATTAAACCACCAGCCAATGTAACTCTCAGATACGCAAGCTTGGGTAGATTTGGCCAACTCTCATTCCCACATCATAATAATAATAATAATAATACAAAATAAAAATAAACACCACCCATAATAGAGATATTAAAGTGTAAAACTAACTGTTAAAACGAAATAGAAACATAGCTTCAAAGAAGTCTCTGGACTTGTCTGTTGGTCAGTCGTCTCTTCTCTGCTCTCATGAGACACTGATGCAATGCTACATTTCTCTAAATCTGATGAAGAAACAAACTCATCTACATCTCGGCTGGCCTGAGGGTGAACACGTTCTCAGCAAATGTTCATTTTAAGCAGATAAGGTACAACTAAGGAAGAACTTAACTTATAAAGAAATTATAATCATGACAATAAAGAACGATGGAGGAGAAGAAGAGAAATGGAAAAATCGTTCAAACCAAGAACGCAGCGTCAACTAGTCTGACACTATAAATGAACTGAAGTATTAGTAGAGGCTGTTATTGCACATGCTTTGAGTTAGTGATCTGAACGAAGCCCTTAACCTAGGGTGTGTAAATCATCCTGTACTGTTTGTGCTAAAAACATGAGCGATAAATCAAACTGAGCTGCCATATATCTATCCAGTATAAAGCTGCGACTCTCAGACTCAAACGCACAACTGAACTAGTGATGAAACACACATCTACAGCGGATACATGAGTTTAGATTTTATTGTAGAAAAGCAGAGGAGGACAACAGTCAGACTGCAGGAAAACCAGACACACAAATCTGACAGACAAATGCTCTCACACTCTCTGCGACCGCTGCTGTGTTTCCTAAGTGTGTTAGGAAGATATTACACTGTACAGCTATTCATTAACAACAGGCATGTACTGGTTGATGAGGGCTGTTATTTCAGCGAGTAACACGACTGACAACATGCTTGATAACTGCAGGGATGAGAGTGGTTTTCTAACCATTTCAAGGGTTAGTTCAGCCAAAAAGTAAAATTCTGACGTTATTTACACACCTTAAATCATTTCAAATGTGTATGATTTACTTTCTGCACAAAAGGAGACATTTAACAGAAAGTCCCAGCTGCTTTTTTCCACATAATAAGCTTCACTCAATGAAACACAAGCAGAATTTTGTTAACATGAAAAAATGTATTCTTATAATTTTTTTAAGCACTGCATTTTGATAACACTTTACCATAATAACATGTAATACTGCAACAACATTATTATAAATAAATCATAAAAATAATATAAAAACAAGTCACTTTGGATAAAAACATCTGCTAAATGAATAAATATAAATATTATTGTACTGTACAATACTATTATAACAAATATAATATAAAATAAAAGAATTCCTTGTTTTCAACTAAAGCAAATAGTTTAACATAAAAATAAACTTCATTGATAAGCAAAAATGATTTTCAGTATTTTTTCTTTCTTTTTATTAAGGATTATAATTATTCTAAGCACCAGCAATATTCGTCTGCAAGCTTAATGCTTTAATTTAATAATTTAAAATTTATTTATTTTGAATTTATGCAATATACTGGAGCCATAATTCACGTAATTGTAATTTCTGGGCGAGATAATGCTAAATTATGAATGACGACACACGTACCCGAGACACAAATGATTAGAATTCATTAGCATATATATATGTTAAACTATCAAATCAGAGGTTTGTGAAATGTTTGGCCCATTTTACGGACAAATGACTTCAAATGTACTCATGTTTTCATGAACGAGGCCCAATGAAAGTGAATGAGCACAGGGGCTGTCAGGCTCCAAAAAGAACAATAAAGGACCATATAATATGAACTGCTGTTATGATATGACTTGTGCGCTATATTACAAGCATTTTGAAGCCATATGATAATTCTGTTTGAGAAAACAGAGTTAACATGTAAGCTGTGTATGCCACATGGCACATCCGTCCCCATTCACTTTAATTGTATGGAAAAGAGAAGCTCAGACAGTACGCCAAAATTTCTCCTTTTGTGTTTCATGGAAGAAAGCAACTCATACGGAATGACAAGCAGGTGAGTAATTGTTATTTTTGGGTGAACTATTGTGTTAACCGTGAGGTGGAAGACAGTGACATGCACACAGTAAGGCACAAAGGGATAAAACAGGGGGAGTTTATGGTTTGGCATCCTCCACTCTGTCTCATTTGCTTTTTATTCACGCAAACCCTCGGAAACTCAAAGTCTCAGAGTACTCATACACTTCAGCACACTTTGGGGAAAAGTGCAGCTGTACTGATGCACAATAAAGGGCTCGTTCACGGAGCAGGCAGCTTGTTCTGTCGTCTTGTTTAAGGCTGAATGGGCGAATCCGCCCAGCTTTGTGCTTATCGATGGCGCTTTGATTTTTGCTATGGAAATGTGCTCTCTACACACTCACAAACACGCATATAAACACTCTCAAATGATTCTTCGCTAAGCCCCGCCTTAGAACATCACCGACCAATCCAATCTTAGCAGCTGTTGCTGTTTATAAACCATCAAATGAGACTTCTGTTTATTTTGTTTCATTTTAATCCATACTTTTATTCAGCAAGGATGCATTAAATTGATCAAAAGTGACAGTAAAGACATTTATAATGTTCCAAAAGATTTCTGTTTCAAATAAATGCTGTTCTTCTGAACTTTCCTGAAAAATAAAACGTATCAGTTTCCACAAAAATATTGTCCAGCACAACTGTTTTCAACACTGATAATAAATTACATTTTTGCATTGTGATAATGAGAATTTCTTTTATATGTCATGAGAATGTCACAAAAATCCTAATGGTTCTAAAAAATGTTTCAATAATTTTCTCAGCTTTATAATGCAATGAAACAACCTGTTTTAAAATATGTTTAACTGCATTATAATGCAAAGATTTTGCACGTCATGAAAATAATGTCACAAAAATCTTAAAGGTCCTAAAAAATGTGTTTGAATTTCTGCAAGTATAATATCTTATTTTTATTTCAGGGTGAAATGTGACCGGCAGGTTTTGTGAGATTAAACCACCAGCCAATGTAACTCTCAGATACGCAAGCTTGGGTAGATTTGGCCAACTCTCATTCCCACATCATAATAATAATAATAATAATACAAAATAAAAATAAACACCACCCATAATAGAGATATTAAAGTGTAAAACTAACTGTTAAAACGAAATAGAAACATAGCTTCAAAGAAGTCTCTGGACTTGTCTGTTGGTCAGTCGTCTCTTCTCTGCTCTCTTCTGTTGTCTGAGGGCTGGTTGGGGTTTGAAGAGTGTGTGTGTTCACTGAGCAGGTAGTGTGTGAGTGTGTTACCGTTACAGAACCGTTCATGAGGCACTCAAGAACAGAAAGGAGTCTTAAAGATCTTTGGGCCTGCTGGGAGGAGATTGCTACAGAGCGAGGGGGGAGGCGGCGCTGGGGCCGGTCGGGGTCGTGCTCGGGGACGGCGTGTGTTTCGGAGGAGCCAGATCCAGGAGTGCACGAACTGTCCCGGCCACCTGAGGCAAACCTCGCTCTTCCAGGATGTGCAGGGGGAGACACAGCTGGTTCTGCAGCCGCTAAAAAATCTTCCTGACTTCAAACGGAACAGTAGTGCAAATAATTTCCTTTAAAGAAACAGCACATTCTTTCATCACAATTCTTTCCAGTCCATTAATACCATTAAACCAAATTGTATCCCTTTAAGAAATTTGCATGAACGTTATTTTATAAAGCCTGACTAAGCAAGCAACGTTACGCAGAGGGGGCGGAGCTTAGCGAAGTATCGATTATGTGCACTAGAAAACACTATAAACGTAACATCTGTGCGTAAACGCCAGCTATTGTGTAATTCTGCACAAAGACAAACAATTGGCTATTTTAGTGCAGTGAGCAACATGGAAGTGCAATTTAAAGGCTTGGCACCAGGTGGCAGTAGAGAGCGCATAGCAGCGACATGATTGACAGGTAGAAAAGGGCAAATCCAGCCAGCTGGGAAGAAGGGGCGGAGCGAAAGGGAGGCGGTGCCAGAGAGAGCAAGGCCTCAACCAGCCTAAACACACAAAAACAGCAATACATTAACATACATATTATTCCCTAAATGTAACTGATAAAACGCAATACGTCAGAAATATTACAAAATATTAAAATATATACTGACACTGATTCATGCGCTTCACATATGCGTACAGTCATTTTAGACACACCTTCAAAACTGTTGCAACAGAGATGGAAATACAATTTTTAAATACATTAATTATGTTTCCATCTTTGTCTGGAAGTGTCTTTTTCTGTTCTAAAGAAGGGGGTGTCCCAATACTTTTGTCCATATAGTGTATGTATAAGTCATTGGTGTTTGCTTATGAGGT